ATTCACACACCTGTATCAGGGGACTCTACTGGATAATTAGAATATTCTTGTTGGATATGAAGCTAATATCATTCAACCAATATTTATATTCACACACCTGTATCAGGGGACTCTACTGGATAATTAGAATATTCTTGTTGGATATGAAGCTAATATCATTCAACCAATACTTATATTCACACACCTGTACAAGGGGACTCTCTACTGGAGAATTAGAATATTCTTGTTGGATATTAAGAGTGATAATCAGAAACACTAATTTCTGTTAGTTAATTATTTTTGTGACATTATTTGATTTAATTCTACTCTTAATTATTGGATACTTGGAATAATTGAAAACAGTAATTATCAGAAGCACTAGTTGATTATTTTTGTGACATTTTTGATTAATCGATTATTTGTTGTAACAGTAATCAATGCTACATGGTAATTGATTTATTGAGTTGATTGCTCATCCAACCACCCTACAGTCCAGTTAATTAGTCTCTTCCTAGCCTCCATCAGTTTCATCTTGTTTAGTAATCTTTTATGTGCCACTTTTCCTTTAGGAAAAGCCTTGAGAATCTAAGTACATCACATCCAAACTCTTGTTCATAATCCAGAAAACACATATCTTAAAAAAGATAACAGATTATTAAAATTAGTTTTCCCTCTAGTGAATCTATGTTGATTTCCTTTTATATTATTCTTGATTTTGCAAAGCTTCTTTTTATCAGACTCGTTGGAATTTTTTTCGTACTACAGATGTATGATATCATTGAAATAGTGTCATTGAGTTGCATGTTCATCAATTACAATTCAGATCTTGTTAGACCAATTGGACTTTTTTTGTCATAGAAATGAGGGATGATTAAGGTTGTTGTTGTTTTTTTTACCTCAACTAATGTTTAAATGAAGGGTATGATTTCAAAGACTGGTTTATTAAACCACATTTTGCTTTCTTCCATAGGCCAGATCATTACTCTGTCAAGCTAAATTCTCCATCCCAGAATTGATAGACTTATCCTTATTCAATGCTCGGGCTTGCTTACCTTAAAAAACTGTACTACTGATGTTTCTCATTTCGCATATTTGTATAATTCAACAATGCACTCTTTTAGATTGATTCTTTCTAATGGCCACCAATTCATCAAGTGTTATTATGCATTTTATGTATACATAAATATAAAATTTAAACTTATGATCTGTTATCAGCATGTGGTTGTTATGATATCTTGTATGAGGTTAATATGTATAACACATTGTAAATTACTTCCATATCAAACGATTCAAGATTGTATGGTCTGTATGTTTGTTTTTTGTTAGCTGGAGGAAGAAAATCTAATTTTTTTTCCATTGATTGCTTTTATTGGTTAAGACTAATTATATGGTGTGTAAGATTGAACATACAATGAGTTTCTATATCTATGAGATCCAGAGATTCAGATGTTTTATATTCATAGCAAGTTCTGTTGCTTGCTAGAGTGGACCGGTTCGTCTTTTTATACCATATAAAAGAAAAAAAGAGACAAGGATGACTCTTTGAAGAAGCTTCACATCCAACAAGAATATTCTAATTCTCCAGTAGAGAGTCCCATGATACAGGAGTGTGAATGTAAGTATTGGTTGAATGATATTAGCTTCATATCCAACAAGAATATTCTAATTATCAAGTAGAGAGTCCCCTGATACAGGTGTGTGAATATAAGTATTGGTTGAATGATATTAGCTTCATATCCAACAAGAATATTCTAATTCTCCAGCAGAGAGTCCCATGAAACAGGTGTGTGAATATAAGTATTGGTTGAATGATATTAGAGTAATAATCAGAAACACTAATTTCTGTTAGTTAATTATTTTTGTGACATTATTTGATTTAATTCTACTCTTAATTATTGGATACTTGGAATAATTGAACACAGTAATAATCAGAAACACTAATTTCTGTTAGTTAATTATTTTTGTGACATTATTTGATTTAATTCTACTCTTAATTATTGGATACTTGGAATAATTGAACACGGATTATTATT